AGGAATTTAAATCAGCATGCTGAATAGGTGTCTGCACTCTCATGTTCATTGCAGCAATATTCACAACAGCCAAGATATGAAAGCAACTTAGGTGTCCAACATCATATGAATGGATGAAGAAAATGTGGTACATATACACAATGGAATAATACTCTGTCTTATAATAAAAGGAAATTCTGTCATTTTTGACAATACGGATGAACCTGTAGGACACTGGTCTAAATGAAATAAGCCAGGCACAGAAAGACAAATACTGCATGATCTCATTTATTATGTGGATTCTAAAAAGAGTCAAACTCATAAAACTAGAGAGTTGAATGGTGATTACCAGAGGCTTGGGTTTAGGGGAATGGGAATGCGGAAGGGAGGATGCTAGTCAAAGGATACAAAGTTTCAATTAGACAGGACGAATAAGTTCAAGTGATCTATTTATTACACAGCATGGCAACTCTAGTTAATAATAATGTATTGCATATTTCAAAATCGTTAAGAAAGTAGATTTTAAATGTTCTCACCACAAAAAAAAATAAGTATGTGAGGCGATTGATGTATTAGCTTGATTTAATCATTCTACAAGGTATACATATATCTTTATTATTATTATTATTATTTTTTCCCCTTTTTGTCTTTTTTCATGACCGGCAATGGATCGCAACCCTCAGTGTTGCACCCATACCGGACCGGGACCGGCAACGGAATCGCAACCCTCGGTGTTGCACCCGCACCTCACTCAGCCAGTGAGCAGCCGGTCTGTATGTGGGATCTGAACCCTCGGCAGGAGCGCCACCACACTCCCAAGCGGCACACTGTAGCAGTGCGCCACCGGGCCGGCCCAGGTATACATATATCTTAATATCACACTGTACTCCACAAATATATACAATTATTATTTGTCAATTAGAAAAAAACTTTTTTTCTCCATTGAACTCATACCCTCTTTTGCAATAATTTAAGTCTTCTTTTCCCTTCTTAAATTAGCATATGTACAAGAGGAAATTAACACTTATCAGTCAAGATTTATTCTTGTTATATGTTACAAGTGAGGCATAAAGAAATAGAATCTTAGTGGATTTCCTTTAAGGATAACAAACTACTTCGCTGTTGGTTAACAGCTTGGAAAATAAAGGATGTTTTAAATGCAAGAATGAACTTCTCATCAATAACAAATTTCATTTAATAAAGACAAGCTATGCAATACATATATACACATCCAGCAAAACAAAACAAAAAAGAGATAGGAACAGTTTATTGATGAAATGAACTAATAGAAGATATATAAATTGCTCTTGCCTTTGGAACTGAGATTATAAATTTTTTTCATAGTCAACTGAGGTGTGATTAACATTTAAGTACAAAGGTTATTTAACATTTAAGCACAAGGTTTCTCCATGAGTTAGTTTGGATTTATAGGATCACCCTTACCAGCATTTCTTTTGAAGCTGTGTTTTATGGAAGATGAGATGTTGAAGCACATTATTCAACTGAGGACTATTATTCTGAACACAAGACCAAGCAGCAACACAGTGCCAGAGCAGGTGGTTAACTTCATATCCTCCTTGACTAAATTGCAAATTTTCCTGGAACTAAAATATAAAATATATTGGGAAAGAGTTCTTTGACTTGAACAAATATGAAAATAAATTTTAAATATACAAACGAAAATACACATTCTCTTATACTTCATGTTTCACCAAATGAAGCAATTTACATATTTCTGTAAGTATACATAGTTAACCTGAACCTAATGTATGTATTTTTTTATATGGGTCCCTTGTGTTCAATGACATCAGTTCTATGATATGGCAAAATTCTGCACCCACAAAAGGACAACCATAGACACAATTGTGCTTTTTGGACTGAGGAAGAGGGGACAGGAGAAAGTTTGAACAAAGATCCAGCAAACAATACTTTAAAATGTGAATTTCTACTTTAAGGGCCAAAATACATGTCTAGCAGGACACAGTCAATGTCTATTAAGTAAGTATTTAAAAGCCTATAAATTTAGATAGTAAATGGGCTGTATGTTTGTTTGTTCTTAGAGTGCTTCCTAACAGTTTCATAGATTTAATTGCTCTACTAAAGTAATTGGTAGACAATAATAACATAATACGCTCATTGAATTTTTGCCAACAGTAGAGATTCAAATACACATCCTATCATATGTACTTAAATTGCCAACTCAATTGATATTTTGTGTCTTTACATCAAAAAGAAACAGACTCTAAAGGGCTTCATAATGTTTATTTCATAAAACAACATCAGAACTACAATTTAAAGATAATTTTCATGTCGAGTACTCTTAAGATAGAAGGCCAGAAATTCACACATAAATTTTAAATTAAGATATTTTATGATTCTAGTAAGCAGTTTAGTTAAAGTCGCATGGATGAGTATTGATCTACTTTATGTCAGAAACTCTGTTGGATACTGGAGATAAAGGCATGATTCAGACAAAGTTTGCACTGGGCTACTGACTCTGGGGAACAATAATTTGGCAAAGCAAATGGAAACAAATCCGTGTTTAGAATGTTCGAATACTCCGTAGAAAAGCTCCATTCTAAAATACCATAAGGGGTCAAACTGAGATATGCTGACTTCAGTAAATGCACACATAACTCAGTTTTCTGCTTTATCATAGAACCTACCCCAAAAATGGAACCCATGTAAATAAAATCGTCTTCTCAATTTGTTTTAGGTGTCTCAGCCCAGATGCCCGACAGTCCTCAGGCTGCAAACTATTCTGAATAAATAAGTAGATATGTTTTGAAACTTTGGATGCCTTAATTAATTAATTTCAAACAATGAATATTTTTTTAGTTTTTAAACTATAGATATTGCATGGCTACATAAAATATTCACTTAGGTCAAAAATTCTTGTGTTAACACACTTATGCACTATCACCAGAGAAAACTTCTGAAATCATTTGGTAAAGAAAAGATCAGGATTTAGACAGTAAACAAGATTTAAATTTTATTTTCAATTTTATATGGTGTCAGTTTTAGTCATCATTGAAAAAGAAAAAAAAAGAAAGCCTCTGATGCTGATGTCTGGAACTGATCTGCTATTAAATCATTACAAACTGGTCTGACATTCACAGCTAGGTCATTTTGATCCCCTGTAGGACCTAAACTCACAAAATACCATCCTCAGGCACTATTACACTGAGACCATAATAAATAAACAAAGCCACTTGACAATTTGTTTCTAAGCACAGACAAAAAGTCATGGGGCAGGTCATTTTGATCCCCTGTAGGACCTAAACTCACAAAATACCATCCTCAGGCACTATTACACTGAGAGCATAATAAATAAACAAAGCCACTTGACAATTTGTTTCTAAGCACAGACAAAAAGTCATGGGGCCACCCACAAAATACCCAATCATAGAATTGCCCTTACTTTCTGACAGCATCAAATCTAGAGAGACTGTCCCCCAGAGCATCCAAATACAGTGTAAATCCTATTACAGATTCATTCTAACACCCTCTTGCTGAGACATCCCATGGGTCCTGCTGGTATGTATTCCCTCTCTCTGCGTCTGCAACAAGTAATAAATCCAATTTGCCTAACTGCAGGTATGCTCCTGATGGCCTTTGGCTGAAGGACATTGCCTTCATCAGGAGCAAATGAACTTGCCACATCTGTGACTTTTCCAGACAAACTAGGCTTATTACTTATCCTCATGCATTTTATGTATTTCAGTAATTTTCATGGTAATCTTGCTAAAGTTTTTCCTGCTTTTTTTTTAAAGAAAAAAATAAGTTCATCAAATTTGGATGAATTAATATACTAATGAGGATTATGATTCATTGCAACTATCATATATATCATCCATGTAGTAGACCAGGAGGGAGCGATGGTCAGGAGTTAACAAGCGGCATAGATNTCATCATTGAAAAAGAAAAAAAAAGAAAGCCTCTGATGCTGATGTCTGGAACTGATCTGCTATTAAATCATTACAAACTGGTCTGACATTCACAGCTAGGTCATTTTGATCCCCTGTAGGACCTAAACTCACAAAATACCATCCTCAGGCACTATTACACTGAGACCATAATAAATAAACAAAGCCACTTGACAATTTGTTTCTAAGCACAGACAAAAAGTCATGGGGCCACCCACAAAATACCCAATCATAGAATTGCCCTTACTTTCTGACAGCATCAAATCTAGAGAGACTGTCCCCCAGAGCATCCAAATACAGTGTAAATCCTATTACAGATTCATTCTAACACCCTCTTGCTGAGACATCCCATGGGTCCTGCTGGTATGTATTCCCTCTCTCTGCGTCTGCAACAAGTAATAAATCCAATTTGCCTAACTGCAGGTATGCTCCTGATGGCCTTTGGCTGAAGGACATTGCCTTCATCAGGAGCAAATGAACTTGCCACATCTGTGACTTTTCCAGACAAACTAGGCTTATTACTTATCCTCATGCATTTTATGTATTTCAGTAATTTTCATGGTAATCTTGCTAAAGTTTTTCCTGCTTTTTTTTTAAAGAAAAAAATAAGTTCATCAAATTTGGATGAATTAATATACTAATGAGGATTATGATTCATTGCAACTATCATATATATCATCCATGTAGTAGACCAGGAGGGAGCGATGGTCAGGAGTTAACAAGCGGCATAGATTCTTTGCCTTCCACTAAATCAGTCCCACTAGAGGTATGGTTGGTAGACAGATGCCATTTGCCAACTGTTCATTAGAGAATAGAAAGTAAGGATAAAATCAGAAACCTGTAAAACAAAATTTGACAGAGTAATTATATATATATATATACGTATATATAATACATATATATCAGTCTAATAAAAATTAAGGCATATATTTTTATGTCTTTGTTTTATTTTTCAGTAATTCATTAGTATTATATTTTACAAAATTACTAGTCTGGAATGGTTCAGAAATTTAAAAGAAGAGAAAATAAAGAAACAAGGAAGAAAGATACAAAANCACAGATATGTACAATCAATTGTTTCAATAAAAAAAATAAAGCAACCAAATCTGCATGAACATAAACTTTGACTAGAGATTTTACTCTGTGACTCATCACGTCCTCAAAGCGATTGATTGTGATATGACTTAGTGGAAAATTTTTGCAGGAGCAATTTAGGTTTGGGGCATATATCTAAGATTTTTTTTTTTTTGGCTGTCTATGTATTTTGGTCCTTAAAGTAGAAACTCACATTTTAAAACATCATTTGCTGTTAGACCTTTGTTCATCCTTTCCCCTCTTCCTCAGTCCATGAAGCACAATTGTGTCTAATGGTTGTCCTTAGCGAGTACAGGATTTTTGCGAATAGTAAAGATTCAAATACACATCCTATTGGAAAAGGTTTCACTAAGTTATAACAATCAAAAATGAAAATATCACTTTTATTTTTGATTATTATATCATTTGCAGGTGCTTGGAATGATAATGTACTGGTAAAAATTGTCAAATATTAAAAAAGAAGAAGAGAAAATAAGTTGAAGGAGATATTTCACCATAAACCGTTCAAAAAGCACTGAGCACTGCATTAAATGACTCCTAGAGAAACTTCT